CAGAAAAAAATGCCCGGAGCCAAGAGATGGACTGTTTTGTTTGCTGGGCATCACGGAGGCCAAGGCCATTGGATTGAAGCATATGTGGTGGAAAGTAAGGTGGAAAAAGACTGGAAAGGTGGGAGGAGGCTAGGTTATGAATGGCTTTGAATGGCAAACAGAGGATTTTCTACTTGATCCTGGAAGTAAAAGGGAGTCATTGGAGTTTATTGAGTGGGGTGGGGAGCAGGGGAGAAGGTGACATGGTTGGACTTAGTTTTTAGTATAATTTCTTTAACGACTTAAGGGAGGATGTATTAAAATGGGGAGAAACTTGAGTCAGGCAGACCCACCAGAAGGTTATTGCCATAGTCCAGGTGGGATGTGATGACAGCCTGCACCAGAATGGTGGCAGTGTCAGAAGAGAGAAAGGGGTGTATATAGGATGTTGCAAAGGTGAAATCAGTAAGCCTTGGCAACAAATTGGGTATGGGGGGAGGAGATGAGAGATAAGGAAGAGTCAAGGATTAAACCTAGGTTTCAAGCCTGAGGGACTGAAAGGCTGATGTTGCCCTTAGCAGTTATAGAAGAGTTAGAAGAGGGGAGGATTTAGGAGAAAAATTAGTGAGTTACTCTTGATAGCTATAGGAGACTTAGGAGGGTTAGAGGATTTGGGGAAAAGATGAGTTCCGTTTTGGACATGCTGACTTTAATGTGTCTGCTAGACATCTAGTTTGAGATGAGATTGGAGATCAGCAGAGAAGTTCGAGCAGGACAGGTAAATTTGAGAATCATCAGCATAGAGGTGGTAATTAAATCCATGGAAGCTGAGGAGATCACCAAGTGAAGTAGTGTAGAGAGAGAAGAGAAAAAGACCCAGGACAGAACCCTGTAGGAAACCTATGGTTAGAGTTATCTGGATGAGGATTGAACAAAGAAAACTGAGAAAGATTGGTTAGATAGGTAGCAGGAGAACCAAGAGAAAGTAGGATCCCAAAAATTTAGAGAGAAGAGAGTATTATGGAGGAGAGGATGACTATTAGTGTCAAAGGTTGGAGAGAGGTCAAGGAGAATGAGGGTTGAGAAAAGACCCTTGGATTTGGTAACTAACAGATCATTGGTTAACTTTAGAGAGAGCAGTTTTGTTGGAATGATAAGTCGGAAGCCAGATTGTAAGAGGTTTAGAAAAGTGTGAGAGGAAAGAAAGTGGAGACAGCTATTGTAGATGGCCTTTTCACGGAATATTTAAAGAGTATCCAGGCATTGGGAATAGCCAATATAAAGGCATGGAGATGGATGTTGAGTATTGTGCATAAGAAACAGCAAGCAGATCAGTTGGTCAACTTGTATTACAGTGCTCTTGATAAGAATTTGCAATGAGGTAACCATGAGTGTAGGTTATATACAAATATTTGTTAAAGAGGACAAAGAGGTAGAGAGAGACACTCTATGAGTAACTTGATAAAATCCTCAAAATTAAATTGGCATATGCTATAATGCATTATGACTTCAAGCAAAGCTAGTCTACGCACAGGGAAAGGCAACAAAAACTATTTTGGAAAATATATTGCAGATATAATAAATGAGAAAGGCAAAAGGTTTGAAGGCAGTATAAAAGGCTCACACTACATTTCACGAATACCTTTCTTTTACAAGAGTGTTTGGAGGAGTTGTACATGGCAAAAATCAAATAACATAAACAGATTTATTACGTTTTGAAGATAGGAAATGATCATCAATCTGTTCATGGTCAAATTGTTGATTAGTTAAAGTTCAGAATGAGTACCAAAGAAGAAGAAAGAATAAATATGAGGCTGAGAAATAATGGGAAATTCAGGAAACTTCAACCTGACCTATTTAAACAAGATACAGATGACGAAAAAATGGGAAATGGGTAAAAGGGTAGATATTGAAACACTATTCTTATTTTGTAGTGAAGTTTAATCAGTATAAGTCACTTGACACAATTAGCAGACTACAAGAACCTAGAAACTTCCTCAGCCAGTAAACATTTGATCTCTGCCAAGCAGAGAGATTTGGTACCCACAGGCAATACCACTTTAGAATATAAATTTGTTTGTAAAATCTTACAGAAGGTTATGGAAGATTATGAGCAGTCTCACTTCATAAGGCATTGAGAATCAGTAGAGAGAAAAACAAGTTGTCAGAAAACTTGGCAAGAGGTCCAACTAAGGCAGATAATCCAGAAGGCATTTAAGGATGAAATTGGAAAGGGTGCAACACACAGACAAAAAATATAAAAGACTTGTCAAGATTTCTGTAACAAGCTTTCTTCATCAATGGCAGTAGAGCTACCACATTTGAACTCATAATATCTTTGATAAAATCTTAACATCATTGTAAGGAAATGGAAATAACTCTGACCAAATCAAATATGAGAAGAGCAACTGTGCTGGACCAAGTGTATGCAGAGGAAATTCTTTCTAGAGGCAATGCAGTTGTAAGGGTATTCTTGACAGTTTGATTCTCAAGATACATGAAAATGAGGAAAGAGAACCAGTTTCTTAGAACAAAAGCATCATCTACTTTACCATTACCAAAAAAGGCTGCTGAGGAAATAACAATAACTGCTGATTCATTTGCCTCCTTTCCCATCTCTCCAAAAAATCGATGAGAACAATCTAACATGCTTTAGAGTCATCTTTGAGCATCTAAGAGGGGACCTTTGAACATCTAAGAGGTAGGCTTTTGCAAACCATAGTTTCTGGCAAACGACTTCATCAGTTTAGAAATGTGCTATACCATAGTATAGAAAGGATACAGAAAATACAGGATATCCCACTGTGCTTACTGTTTTTGGATTATTTAAGAAAGCATTTGACTTGGTAGAACAATGCCATCTTAAAATGCTTTCTTCCAGGAAATCATCTCCTACATGTCACAGTTCCTATAAAATTGCTTGAAAGATGTAACAGATAAATTTGTTTAATGACCATATGATGATTATTATCAAATGAGGCATAATCTGGGAAGTTTTATCTTTCCTAATGTTTGCCACTGTCACAAAGGATGTCCAGCTCCAAGGCTTAAAGGGTTCTTATAAATGAAGGCTTCCCAATGCTTCTGTTTTCAGACAACCTTATGCTGATTGCATCAAATCTCTAAACTTTGCAGAACTCGTTAAGGGAGATTCATAATAACTTGCATAGCATTTGTTAATTGACTATAAAAGCATTTTGATTTGGTAGAACAAGGTGCTTTAAAGGCACTCCAATGGAATGTCTTCTATGTACATTTTGGGGTCATGTGATATTCCTTGAGGGTTCTAACAGTAGAGATGCCTTTGTTCAGTGAATCTGTGACTATTAATATAAAGAAAGACATGAAACAGGGAAACAAGCTAGTGATAGATGTTTGTTATGTCATGGAAGATGTCGAGAATGGATTCTGTGTGGAGAGGGATTCTTTGTGAGCATGGGTGGTGATATGTTGATATGTGGTTGACTGGATAGTCCATAAAGTTGATCTGTCTTAGATTGGCACTGTTGATAGATAATGAGTTGAGACCAAAATTGAATACTAGAAGAATAATGATCTGAGTTACCTTTGGAAAATTGCCCAGTACTTTTAATTACTAGATTTCTCCACAAAACAGTAGTTCTTTTTAATATTGGTATTCTTCTGGTGATTCTATATGAATGTGAATCATGGAACAAAGCAATCTGTAGCACGTAAGTTGCAGTTCACCAAAGGACAATGGCTACTACATGAGTAGGTGGTAGCCTATTACTAGTGAAGAATTGTGTCAGAAAAGTGAGGTAAGGGACACACTCAAAGAGTTATGTCACTAGAAAGGGAGATGGGTCATCCACATGA